GAAGAAGAAGAAGAAGAAGAAGAAGAAGAAGAAGAAGAAGAGGAAGAAGAAGAAGAAGTTGGTACTCCTTCAGTCCTAGCAGGGAGAACGAACTATTTTCCAAAAGCTAGAGATCTGTAAAATCAAAGTCCTCCAGTTGCCATACCATTTCTAAAAAAATTAATGAAGAAAGTATGTAATGCTCATTCAGGAAAGTGACCGGCCAGCAGGATACTGAAATGGCAGTGTGATTTCTCTACTCAGAGGAGCCCCTTGTGTAGTTAAAATGCTATCAACACATACCTTACAATGGGACTGAATTTTCTGTATATTTTTATATAGGATTGATCTATATACAGTAAACCAGCTTGAATTATGCTGCACATGTATGTGCCATAAAACAGATCTCAGTACAAAGTTCCAAATCCAGGGGCTTTTCTGATATAAAGGTTTGGTAGTACATTTTCATTGACATAAATAATAAATGTTTGTTTTTCAGACGAACTCTTTCATAACTTCTTATCATACCACTAAACTGTTGCTCTCTGATATAAAAGGGACTAACATAGGACAAACACATGGAGGAAAATGCTACCCTAGAACACATATTATAAAATTATTTTTATATATTATTTTTATATTTATATATTATTTTTATGAAAAAAGAGTTGTGTTCCGTGACGGAAGCAAACGAGGTGCCTTTATTACTTTCAAGTTCCTTTATGAAGTTCTTCCATTTTCATCTACTAAATTGCCTTCTTTCTTACATTATTCCAGTTCAATCTCTCCTGCATAGAGAGTGATGAGTAGAATTGCAGTGAACCCTGTGAGCAAGCCAGCATTTTGAATCAGGAAAAAAACGAGATCTGTTTTTCTTCCAGTCACTTTCTCTCTCAACATGTCGTTCAACTCTGGGAACTGGAGTTGCCATGGGAATAAAACCACAAAAAAGAGAAAATTTTTTACAATAGGTAAGTCTTGCCATCTAGTGGTAGAATAGCGTGTCGATTTATAAAATGCATTCATTTTTATTTTTATGGTGGGCTGTTTTTGGGGGGGAGGGTACAATACTGGTAAGAAGAAGACACAATTTCTAAGTTCCAAGGGGGAAAAAATGACTTAATGATTTAAGGATAACCCATCTTGGACAGTAGGTCAAACAATTATTTCACCAAGACATGGACAAGGAAAAAGAAGCTATGATTCACTTCTAAACCTCTATTCTTAGATTTTGGCACTTCCTCATCTCTCCATCTTATGCAAGAAAATTTTTATTAGTTTGTGTACCAAATTTAATTAATACATCTTTTTGGGGTCAACCTATCATGAATGAATAGTTAAGATGAGATTCAGATTTAGCTGCAAACCCTGATAAGTTGCAATATTATGTAGGTAGGAAAAATAAATAAATGTTTCTTTATAGACCTTTCATTACCCAGCTAGGTAACAGATAACAGATAATCAAAGTTGGAAGGGACCTTGTAGGTCATCTAGTCCAACCCCCCACCAAAGTGGGAGACCCTACACCATTTCTGACAAATGGCAGTCCAATCTCTTCTTGAAAGTCTCAAGTGATGGCACTCCCATCACTTAACATCAATAGTGCAGGGTATGCTCACTGTTTCTATATAGTAGCTTGCCCTTCCAGTTTTGGTCAGTGGATGGTTTTCTCCTTGGTATTCTTTAAATAGAGTATTGTTTTCTACTTGATTGTTGTCTTGTGTTAATCCCTTCTTATCTAGCTGTTGGCTGCTGCAGATTGTGAATAAGCTTGTTTATACAATACATTTGAACAAAATGGATATCTGTACAACTTTATCAAAAAGTGCCTGACCACTCAACCTACTACAATGCAACCAATACAATATTTTAAAAGAATAGTATTATCTTATGTCACAAGTATCTCAGAAACAAGCAACAAACAACAGACTATTGTAACCACATGACTTCATAGTAGCACACAAACCAACTAGTCTTCTAAAACATAAGTAAGCCAAAAGGTTTAGTAGCCCAAAAATAAATAAGTCATCTGCAACAAATTGGAACACACCCTAAGGGCTGCCACTATGTAAAACAGACAGATTATCCATGAACAAGAACTAGCAGTCAGAAGATACAGTGAACACTCCTTAATCTCACAACACATGGACAGACTCAATCACAATTGGCAAACTGTGAATATCCCAAACCAAGTTAAATCTAAAAATTACATTCCTTCCTAGAGCTAAGAGAAAGTAACTGACCCAAAGTAACCCAGTTGGCTTTATGCCTAAGGCAGGACTAGAACTCATGGCCTCCCATGGCCTTAACCACTACACAAAACTGCTTCTTTCTGCTTATTTACTAACAATTAATCTGGATTATGTCTTGATTATTTTTGCATAAGTATTTCTAGATCTTAACTTGATGGAGATTGATATCTGTTTTAACTAAAAGTATTGATCTGTTGAACTGTTGTTCCACTACCAGTAGAAATACAGTAGAAGCTTTATGTACTTGGCAGCAAACAAATGTAGACAATTCTCATTCCTTGCTGCAATTAGTAAAGATTAGTGGGTTTGGTGAATCTAATGCTTCATCCAACTCCCAGAAGAATATTTACCCCCAACCAAGGATGGGAAACAAAGCATCTTGGACCACAGACAAAAAGAAAAGAATTCAGAAGTAAGTCAGCCACAAACTGTAGCTATTGTATAGGGCATACTTTTAGAATTAAGTTTAGAATGCATTTTGAAAGACTGTCTAACTGTAACAGGCAAAGACACAAGACCAACAGCTTTACTAATGCTTTACCCATCATATACAAGCGTTTAATGTGCAGATAAGTTTCTTATGAAGGACATTCAAAATTATGAGACCATACAATCTCTGTTTGAACACAGAGTACTATCATCAGCTGGTAGATTCCCTTGAGCAATGAGATCAGTTCCCTATGATCACCTAAGATGGGGCCCCCAAACTTGGCAACTTTAAGACTTGTGGACTTCAACTCTTAAAGTTGCTAAGTTTGGAGACCTCTGACCTAAGAGAAATGACAGAGAAAGAGAGAAAAAGAAGAACTCTTACAAATCCTACCTGTTTCTAGACAGAGAAGAATAAAGTGGGGTTCAGCAATAAATCAGGATTCTGTATTGATTATTCACACATATTATTACATTTGGCTCAGACATAGTTCCGATCTAGAACCTAAAGATAGAGAGATTTGAAAGGTAGATAGAAAAACCTATCACCTACTATGCCATAAGCAGGCTTTCAAACTAGCTTCTATACATCATCTAAGATAGAAAGATGTCAGAGAAAACAGCTTTAATTTCCAAGCTTGCTCTTTGCTCTTGGTAAAGATGAGAAACAGCTCATAAAACATGCTCAGCTACCATATTTCCATTTTTTTTCCTGAACTACACCTTACTCATTGTAACCCAAGAAATGAGGCACAAATGGAGCCTAGAATTCACTGTGCCAGCTATGATTATAGATGTGATCTATTCATGCCTTCCTCTCTAAGTGGGTGGAATTGCATATCCCTATGAATAATTGCACATAGCTTTATGAAATTCTCTGTATTTTTAATACATCAATCATTCTGGTTTCAGAATTTGCACAGCCAGAAGCATTAACATGGCATGCAGTGCAATCCCTGAAAACTTAAGTACTCCAAAGGCTGTGAATAAATTGTCATGCATAATTTGATAAAATAAGAAAAATATTGCATACATAGGGAGTAGTTGCCGTAATGGCATTTAATTAATTAATTTTTACTTAGCCATCTTTGTTTGTTTGTTTTTGTCCTAGATATACCAAATGTTTTGAAATGAAAATTGCTAGGATGCCACCACAAACAATACAGTGGTAAATTTTAGAACTATAGCTATTGAAGCCCGCACAGACTTAATCCTAAATCCATATACTTCCCCTTTCATGTTTTTGAAGCCATTGGTCTCATGTACACACCAGTCAATCTTCCATATAGAATTTTCAGGTGCAGTTGGGTAACTTGGGAAGAACAGCTGTTTTTAGAATTAAGCAAAAAAGGCCAAGATAGATGTTTCTTACTTTGTCTCATAGCAATAAATATTTCACCCTAGGTTTAGACTGATTTATGAAATGTAACACCATGCTGGATCACATCTAAGATGTCCAGCTTGGAAAAAAATAACATGAACTAATTGCCATTTCAATGTCCTAGTTTCACACTAATAGTACTGGTACTGTGGTTTCCCTTAACAATATCTCACAAATATCATCTCTTATAATCACACATTTTAATAATGCTAATGGTTAAGTCCATTTGTACTACAGTAGACTATAAATATTGTTTAGTGGGTAGATGGGTAGATAAGCTGTAACAGAAACTTACCATATCTGCAAGGGAGATGTATAGAAACATGCCTCCAGCTACTGCAAAAATGATGTTTGGAGCAAAGTTGTTGCCTACAATTATGCCAAAAACTAGGCCAATATAACAGGAGCATGCTGATAAAAAATTGAAAAACAAGGCCTGCCTTGTGCTCATTCCTGCATTAAGAAGGATGACAAAATCCCCTAAAAAAAGAAATGTGTGACATTATCACTATGTAACACAGTTATGATTTATACTTTTTCCAAGATAAACCAAAATACAGAGATACAGTTTGGTGTAATCCTTAGTTTAAAGGCACCCTTGGTACAGGATGACTTTGAGCCAGTCATTCTATCATTCCTAGAATGTGAAGTTGAAAAACGTCTATCTGTCAATCTCCAGGACCAGCATGATAAATTATAGCCTGTAACCTTCAGTGGAGAGGCTTCCATCTTGCAGTAGATTGATTCAGGATGATAATAATTCAAAAAGGTATGTGAAATATGTCAGAAAACTTATCATTTCCCCATTTAAATATAAAATATTTATGAATTACGTCTTGCTTGATGAAAAGTTTGCTAGGAAAGCTTACTCCAGGACTGATGCCCTTAGAGTAGGAATGCAGCTCCAGATTTCTGAATCACTATGGTTAAAAGTTGAAAGCCATAACCATGGTAGCTTCATTGGTTATAGAAGTCTGCCTCAACTACATACCTTAAACTTTGAAATGATATAAAAAGCATTACCTAATTCATGAGGAAACTCTTCACATAAGATTGCTATAGATGTGCTAATTCCCTGAAGTAGGGAAAGTGTGAAAGAAGCTCCAATGGCTAATCCATCAATGAAGTTGTGCAAAGCATCGCTTAATGTGATCATCCAGGCAATTGTACCAATCTCAGATAGGGAAGGCCCTTTGAAACATTTGCATGAACTACTTTGCATTTCTTCTTTCTGCAACAAAAAGAAAGAAAAGGAGAGTTACATCAAATACTAAGTCAGTGTAAGAAAGCTACAGATCATATAGCAGTAGCAATAGCACTTAGCCATATACCTCTTCACAGTGCTTTACAGCCCTCTCTATAGGTTTAAACTGCACGTTTACTGAGAAAAAAGACATGGAATCCAAAATACATGTAGTTCTCACTTGAAAACCGGTCGCTTAGCTATCATTCAAAGTTATAATGCACTGTCTCCCCTTACAATCCAGTTCCGGAGTTCCCACAATGGCGCACGTGCACGCAAACATACTGATCACATGACCATATTTCAAATGCTCACCTTTACAGCTGGTTGCAGTGTTCCATAGTCATGTGACCATGATTTACATTTTTTTTCAGCTGGTTTCCAGCAAAAAAACGCCCATAAAAACAAATGGATTCGTTTAACAATCACAGTGTTTACATAAGTAGTACCACAAAAACTTCATAAAATCAGGTCAATCATGTGGGCATTACGACTTAGGATTGTCATCTTATAATGGAAGTTCTGGGCTCCATTACAGTCATAAGTCGAGAATTACCTATAAACATTCTCCACATTCAGCAAATATTTCAATTATAAGCATAGAGCCATGAGGTCAAATTCACTTTTGACCTAAATCACAGTTCTTCTGTTTTTTCTGTAGTAAGCTGTCCAAATGAAGTGGATTATCTATAGAACTATAAAACAGATGGACCCAGATATCCAACGCTTTTATACATTTGGTTCAGAAGACCATAATGCCCTAGATTCATCTTCAAACAGGCTTATCGTAGACAGCATGGGACCTTTTTGCAAATGTTTAAAGTAGCTATTAGATAATACATTGAATAATACATTTTCTTTAAAAAAGCAACTGAGCTACAGAATAGTTAATCAATTGAAAGTGGTCAGAATTGAGGTTGATGGACCAGGGTTAATTTTCAGCAATAAGGTAGGATTCTTTTATTCCTTTAAGCGTTTGTTGCTGTGGCAATTTTTCTGAAAGATTTGTATTTCATATTGTTAACAGCTGGAGAGTCTTTCCAAGCAGCAGTGACTTTTGGAGGTGAAGCCGCTGTATTTTGGGGGGAGGGGAGATCAGCCAATTGAATCTTGTCTATCTCCCTCTAGAACCTGACAGGAGTATTTAAGACTTCACATAGCTTAATAAACCAAACAACAAAGATAGCTTTTTCTTTAGGACTCTGAATTCAGAGTCAGCACAATTGTTGGGCAGAGTTATTGTTCACCTATTAATCATGCTACCTAGTTTCAATAGGAAAAATCTGGAATCCCAGGACACAGGTTTTAGTGTCCTTTAGGTCAGGGGTCTCCAACCTTGGCAACTTTAAGACTTGTGGACTTCAATTCCCAGAATTCCTCAGCTAGCTTTGCCACCAGAAGTGGCCAACCAATAATAAATAATAAAAAGAAAGCTTTATTAATAATATTAAACAATAACATCAGCGTATTAAACAATAACATGTCCTGAGGAAGGATTTGATATGTAGATAAAAATGCCAGCTGTAGTCTAAACATTTGTATGACTATAATAATATTTGCCACAATACTTATAACACCCTCGAACAACATCTACCTATCCATAATCCTAGAGAAGTAGATAAAAATGTCAAATCCAGTCTAAATATCTGGATGACAGTGTGGCCAACCATAAAATTTCTTAACACTATCTGTGTTTTAAAGCAGAAGGGAAAGTTTACAATATTGTCCTTTTTTTCACCAAATCAAACATTAAAGCTTTCCGGTCAAAGAAACCATGAATCTTGTATAAACATTACATGAGATGTTAAAGGTTACATTTTCAACTATGAATGGAATTTAAGTTTACGTGACTGCTGGAGATATTGACAGAGAGCTAAACTAACAGTTCAGAAACCTAAAAGAGAAAGGATACTATCCTAAAAATGAATTCTACTGTTATATTAACAGGACCTGCCTAAAGTCAAACAGAGTAACTTAAAGTCAATGTTTAAAGTCAATGAGAGAATCTTATGAACTTGCAGATTTTCCCAATGTAATCTAGTGTCAGCTTCCTGGTTATGCCTAATATTACTATATATGCCTTGGTCAAACGCAGAACCAGCTTCAAGGAAAGGATTTTAATAGGCAAACCCAGAAAAGAGAATCCACCCCAACCTTCAATTGCATGACATACCGAAAGAGATTATGTTTCTCAGTTTATGTGTCTTACATGTTCCATCGGGTGGAACTTGGGATATCATTTCCAATTACGTCAGATTCTTGGAATCAGCAGCGGCAAGCCCATCCTTTACCTGAACAGCTGCCAGCCACTGTCTATTTAACTATGTAGTGTAGTATATTCCAGGGATCTCCAACCTTGGAAACTTTAAGACTTGTGGACTTGTTTCTCTGTGTGCACACAACACACATACCGAGTAGTTAACAATGTGGGAGTGAACGATGAACTCAAGGTCAATTTTAAAACTATTATCAACGAAGAAAATATCAGCAATCATCTCTTTGCTGGAAATGCTATGATAAACTGGCAAAAGGTGTTCATTCATACCTGTCCAGAGATCACACTGACATTATCAAAACCCAAGTTTCCATTAGCTTCTGCTACAGCTGGATTTGCATAGCACATGGTTCCATTAACTGATTTGATTGATTCTACAGGAGCAGGAGGAACAGAACAATCTTGAGGAAGTTTCAGTTCTTCGGGTTCAAAATGATTGTGGCTGTGGCCCATCTAAAGAGAACCAGATGAAACAATCCAGGAAGGAATCAATGGACAATATAACTTTAGAAATAGAATAGTTGATAGATTAGATAGATGGATGGATGGATGGAGAGGGAGAGATAGAGAGTGAGAGAGAGAGAAACAGACAGATAGATCTTGTCTAAATGCACTTTGTTCCAATATATATCAAAATAGCTGGTTGCTATACTGCAAATATAAATGTACAGTAAATATATCTTAACATGAGAAATTTGGAATTCTTATCCAGAAGTGCACATCCTGAGTCTGAGGAATACATGTTACTCTTAAAAGCCTTACATACAATCCTCAGGGTCCTCCCAAAGTTACCACAAAATTATTGTTTTTAATGGGACAGAAAAGAAAACTATTCAATAACCAGCAAAGAATCACATCATGTATTTAATGTATGTTAATGAAATAGAATTGCAAATTAAATCCAATTTAGCTTTTGACCTGGTCCATTAATTTATTTTTTTAAACAGATCCATGTGTGATTAGCATATAACTGTAACATTAATACAGTAGATCAGAGGTGTTATTGTCTTTTCAACCTACATTTCGCACATGTCAATGGCATTTCTCTTCCCATCTCATTATGGCTGGAGAGAAAGACTTGGCTTCCATTCACACTCTGCTTTTCTACAATGAACTGAATTGTGCGAGATCTATTGTCTGATATGGTCTTTGGTTAAAACATGCCATCAGTTTTTTTCGCAAGTTTCTGCACATTTAAATATATATATTCCTCTTTAGCAGTGAAAAACAGCACACACCTCCACATCCCGTTAATGTAATCCTGCTACCCAACTCACTTGACTATAGGTCTTCAATAACATTTTAAGAACTCTTTCCACAAAGAATAAAATGTAGAATCCACCAAAAATTGCAACTGCTTTTTCAACGTAGTTGTTTACTTTGGGATCAAATCCAAATGCCTAGAACAAAAATATTTATAATAATTCCATATCATTTGATATTTCTCTATTCTTTTTAAGACAGCTTTTTTCATTACAGTATTCACTTTCATTCAGTTTAATCCAAATATTCATTCAGTTTAATCCAAATTTACTTCAACTGTAACTCACCTAAATTAAATCAGGTACAGTATGTCACCATTTACTAGGCCTGTCCCATGACAAAGGTTGTCTCTTCTATATTTAGTTGTCTACTCCAAACTGGTTTTTAAAATCAATCTTGTGAAATAATTAATCCACAAAATGTACATGTGGGTCAGAATGAGGGCTGAACATGGTAATTTGCATGGAAATAAATTGCAGTAGGCAACTGTTATTCCATTTCATCTCTCCAGTGGATTGTCAAGTGCTGGGGAAATCAGGAGATTCAGGCAGTTCAAATGAGTATAGAGATTTATTGCAAGGTTAAGCTGTCTACAAGAATCTGAACTATTAACGTTCAAGAGATATTAGCGGGAGTTAAGAAAGGAATTCAAGGCAGGCTGGACTTAAGATCTCTTGTGGGCATGAAAGGACTCATGACTGAGAACACATTTGATCCCTCCCTCAGGCTCAGTCTGATCATCTCCTACATCAGGAGTGTCAAACTCAAGGCCCACAGGCCAAATCTAGCCTGTGGGGTGCTTAGATCTGGCCCATGGAGCCACCCTGGAAAAAGTGAGGGACCGCCCTGTGGTGCCTTTGTCAGCAAAAAAGGCCTCCCGAGCACCATTTCCAGCTGTGACGGCCTCCTGCAACCCGGTCAATGAAAAAGGAGTTTGGGAGGGCATGCGGTCCTCCCGAGCTCCATTTTCACTGGCAGAGGGTTGCAGGAGGTCATCGCAGCTGGAAGCAGAGCTCAGGAGCCCGTTTTCACCGACAGAGCACTCAGGCTGCCCAGGTGCCCCCAACATTAGTGATATCGAGTGGGCCATGCCCACTCTGGCCATACCCAACCCGGCTCCCTTAGGTTAAACACAAACCTGATGTGGCCCTTAATGAAATTGAGTTTGACACCTCTGTCCTACATGGACTCTATTCATCCAACATGCTTAACCAGTTCAATCACTAACGCAATCAATTTTCCTTACCAGTGGTTCTGGCAGCACACATCATCATTTGAGGAATAAAAAACCTTAACTTCATCTTTCCAGGAAGCACCTGAACAATCCTGTCAAAGCTTCATGACATCACCAACCCCTTTTCCATTGGAAGGCAACCATAGCTATGACTCGGTGACTTTAGTTAATCAATGTTTTCAAGTTCTATTTGCTGGGCCACTGCCAATGAACATATAATATTAGTGTGTTCTCCCTTCCACTTCCTGTCAGACTAGTAATTCATCTTTCTTAGATGGGGAATAGTGGTACAAATCTAATATATTCCCCTGAAGGAGTTTATGGTTGGAGGAAATGGGGAAGAAAGGGAATGACTACAAGGCTGTAAATGGGAAAGAAAGGGAATGACTACAAGGCTGTAATACTGAAAAGCATCTTTCCAGGTGGATGTTCAGTCTAAGGGAAAACATAGAACATGGTTATATTCCCACCATTTTTGTCTACCTTTTCCTTACCTCTGGAATAAGTTGAAAAATTGCATTAGAGAAGAGTGTTCCAATGGCCAAACCTACAAAGTAGGTTAAAATCTTAGGGAAATAGTCCTTCTTTAAAAGAGGTGTTAAAACCAATCCAAGAAGTGATGCAAGGCTGATTATAGTCACGGCAAGGAATCCAAAACCCCAAACTATAAAAAGAAAAAAAAAGTCATACAATAAAATATATACTAGTTGTATTATACCCACAAAGTCCTTCTTGGTGATTCATTTGATAGGTAACTCATTTGGCAGGGGAAAAAGTTTATCCATCTAGTTGAAGAACAGCTGAAGACCTAATATTCAAGATATAGTTAAGTCCAAGGATTTGCTCAGATAAGTTGACTAGAAACAACATATAAGTATGAGCACATAGGTGATGCAGGCAATAAAAAAATTATTAAATAAATGAATAATAAAATATGCTAAATTGCACCCAGCAACACAATAAAAATACTAAATATGGGATTTTTCGTATTTATGTTCCTTATTTCCATTCTTGAACCATAGATTATCACAATAACTTCAATTTAATGTTTTCCTTTCCGTTGACATTTCCCATTTGCTACATTTCTCATCAGCTAAAGTTACAGTAGTTAAAAATAACAAAAAACAATAAGGAAGAAAAATTGTGGTCTGACTAAAATGTACCTGACAGATGCAACAGCAAGTTTTTTATTCTTTTTAACTGCTTTAACATTCCTGTTTTTATTCATATCTTTAAGGAAACTAAAAAGAGAAAATGAACAGAAATAAGAAAAGATATATAAGTAGTCCTTGATTTAGAACAGTTCATTTAATGACCATTCAAAGTTACAACACCACTGAAAAGAGTGACCATCTTTTCACATTTATGACCATTGCAGCATCCCCATAGTCACATGATCAAAATTCAGGTGCTTGGCAAGTGACTCATACTTATGACAGTTGCCGTGTCCCAGCATCATGTGATCATTTTTTAACCCTTTGACAAGCAAAGGCAATGGGGAAACCAGGTTCTCTTAACAACTGTGTTATTAATTTAACAACTGCAGTGATTCACTTAACAACAGTGGCAAGAAAGGTTGTAAAATGGAGGAAAACTCACTTAACAAATGTATATAGAAATGCAATAGAAATAGAAATGCAATAGAAATGTTGGGCTCAAATTAGTAAGTTGGCAGGAAAATTACAGAACTTGTACAGTTAGGGCTCAATATATCATTGTTGAAGAATTAACATAAAAACAAAATATGTAGTTTTTAACAATAAGGGAAAGGATTTTGGAGATCTTTTTTAATTTCGGAGTGTCAAACTGTGCATTATTTTGTTATTTAAACACACTATTTTAGAAAAAGAAAAAGAAGTACCAGTAAAAACATCAGAGTTGAATATGTAGTTTCTAACAACCCCTTTGTTGTATTATGAACTTATTTACAATATTTATAAATATGGTAAATTTCATGTATTTCTGATTTTAATTCTTTGGTCAACTCTTTTTTCCCTTATAAACCATACTCTACATCAGGGGTCCCCAAACTTGGCAACTTTAAGACTTGTGGACTTCAACTCTCAGAATTCTGGGAGTTGAAATCAACAAGCCTTAAAGTTGCCAAGTTTGGAGACCTCTGCTCTACATGCTTAAATTTTCCTTGCCTTTTGCCTTAATCAGAAGCAAGTTTGATTAAAATCCTACATATTGAAGGTCAAACTAGACAAGACTTTGTTACATAGATTGTACTGAGATGAATTTGTGTTTATCCAATAGCTACTTCAGGATATTCTGATTTCTTTGGCAAAGGGCAAAATGGCAGCCTATATTTTTCAATCTCTGTATTTTCTACCTGAAACAACTTCTTTATCCTGCATTACTATATTCCAGTTCCAAAAATTTGTCAAAGCTGATGTTGACCAGGGATATTGCAGCCACTGCCTCAATAACAATTGGTATCACAACTGATATCTCCCAAACTTTTGCTATCTCTATTTACACATCTTTGCAATCTTTTCCACTTCCTTATCTTCAACATTTACCGTCATTTGGAATGACTATGTTAATACACTAAACATTGTTCTTTTCAATATCAATGTTGTCTGGTGTGTGTTATATTTTAGGCATACATTGGTATGAATTTAAAATTTCATAACATTTTTACTTCATCATGTTCAGTGACTTTTATTTGTGATTTGATGATTCCTGTGATGCATATTGACTGTGAATCCATACTTTTAAACATAAATGCTAGTGTAATATCTTCTCAACTCAATCATAACTATGTTCGTCATCTGGGTTATTTTGTTACATCCAGTTACTATATACTCAACTGCTTTAACAGTCTCAAATGGAATTTACTACTTGAATCTTTTCTCATTTTGCCTTGATAACCTTAGTGCATAGGGTTCTTCTTAGACTAAAAAAAAGCATAACTTCCATATAAACTATATAACCATTGGATGAATGTATAAGATTAAATCATAATGAAAATTAGAATATCTCATATAAAATGATGGAAAAATAGTCAAAAGAATGTTTAATAATTGATATTATATAAGCACAAGCTAGATCGATAAGGTGAGAATTTATATAACTTGGGAGTAATGGTTAAAAAAGGATAGCACAAAAGATTGTAACCAACTGACACACTGTATGTATATAATTGAAAGAGGGTTTTATGTTTTTATGTTTTGTTCGTATGTTTGTTGTAAAAAATAAAAACTTTGTTTAAAAAAAAAAAGCATAACTTCTGTTTCCTTTTTTAATGTAACATTCTTAATAGTGCTGTCCAATTTTCCTTCAATACCTTTCAAAAAATACCCATTGAGTTATTTGGTATTTTCAAATATTCAAGCTATTGCTTCTTATAGTCAAATTTAGATTCCATTTCTGTAAATTGCCTTTCCTTCTGAGATTCTTTCGATAACTTTTCTCTATTTGTCTTGATGATTGTCCTCTATGATTTGGTTTATCTGTAAAAGTCCTTGCTCACCAGTCTTCCTTGAAATAATCTATTCACATCACTACAAGTGGTAGGCACTATTCACAATTATCAATATTCTAGTTTGTTAGCTAAGTCCAAGAAGGTTCTTCTAAGGTCAAGTAAAATTCCTGAATTATATCAATTTTTATGCAATTAGCGTTTAAGTTTAAAATGTTTTGCAACAATGCCTTTCTAATAATATCTGCTGAGAAGATACAAGACTTAGTCTTACGTGTATTAAAAGCACATACCATTGATATTTGACAACTAATGTGATACAGCAATAGTTTGTTATTATCACAATATTATATTTAATTATGATCACTACTTGAATTGGTATATAAAATTATCCTGCAATACCAGTTAGTAGTGAACACTAAGCCATTGTACATTAAGCCACTGTAAGTGTAAAAACATTGACAGTTCTTGTAGGAGTACATAACTAAACATAAAATAATCTGCTAACTAAAGCAGATTCTAAATGGAGAATTACCTTCTGTAGGAGATGGCTTGGAACTACCTTTGGGAGCAGATTTTTCACAGGGGTGAAAAATCATTTGTTGTAAGACAGCAGGGCATATTGTAGAGAAGGTGGATTCTATTATCCTGGTCCCGTTTGATATTCCATACAGAGAAAAAATATCATCTGAAGACATGCACTAAAAGAAAATGAAAAACCTCTATTAGGTTTGACAAACAAAATGAATGCACTTATAGCAAGATGCAAAATATTTTTGATTTGATTGTCATCAACTGCACAAAAGATTACCTTTAGAAGGGCATCTGAGGAGAAAATTCTCATTTTACTTCTCAGTATCCTTCTGAAAGGATCTAGGAACCTTGGCAAGCTCAATTTTATTTTAATTAAAGCTTTTAAACTGAATCTTAAATATTTGCAAGGTAAACTTTCCTTGAACGTGATCCACCCTACCATTAATAAGGAAAATCAGGATACCAGAGTATAAAACATGGGGGCACTGTCTCTAGATTCTCAATACAGGCATCTTAGCCATACACTATTCCATTTATTATTAATTTTTGTTCATTAATTCATTTCAGTTGTACACTGCTCATCATGATCACATTGAATGACTCATATTACCCACTTGCTGCTTGCTCCTATGCAGAAAACTATGGCCCAGTGTGAAAAGTGCATCATGATCACATCACAACCCCATGAAGTCATGGGAGATCATGTTGTAGGCTAAGACTACTGCAACTTGGATTCCAAACAAGGAATGGATAATAAAAGCTAGATTGATTACAATTAGCAAATTTGTATTGATCAATTCCATATACTTACATAGGGATCTGCCATGATGAGTGAAAGTGGCAGGAGAACTGAGCCATCACAAGTCCATATGCAGTGGGTTGCTTTTGTTGGCCAAGTTGTATAGCCTTCAATCCCTCCCTCTTCCCCTAGTGAGGTGCCTTAGTTAGTTGTTTAGGAAAAATAACTCAGGAAATGGCTGCATGCTTTCAGCAAAGGAAGTTTATATAATACCTACAACTGGTGTACCACTAAGTGTAAGGCAAAAGCAGCAAATAATTATCCAGTTGGGGTCAGACCAAAAAGCTCTTTATCGTGAGGTTTGCACAAAGCAAAGAGAGTGTCGTCTTTGGAGATTCTCAGTCATCCACATCACAGTTGTCCCAAAGGTGCTTTTTCAAAAGGCAACTGGACTTTGTTTTTCCTTGAAGACGTTTGGATGAGAGGCAAAACGTCTTCAAGAAAAAACAAAGTCCAGTTGCCTTTTGAAAAAGCACCTTTGGAACAACGTCAGTGTCTGTAGTTTTAGGGGAGTGGGAATTGAGGAAGAGACTACTTTGACTAAGCAAAGTTTTGTGGGTTGGTTGAAAGTACAGTTCATTCACAGTTCAGGTCATGTCTCTCTTTTCTTTTATTCCTGTATTTAGGACAGTGGTTGCCAACCAGTGGGCTGGGGACCACTGGTGGTCCGTGAGAAAAATTTTGGTGGTCCGCAGAGAAATGTCACTACCAAAACACTGCCCCCCAAAGCAATTCATCCAGGTTGTGCAGGAACACAAGGCTGTGCCACCTACATGGCCCATGAGAACACAAGGCTTGCGTCGCTTACATTGCGAACAACATGAGGTAGTGAGAGGAGGGGGGAAAGGGCAGAGGGGGGGAACTTGCTCCACTCACTCCACGCAGCTCGCTTGGCCACCAGGCTTGGCCACTTCTTTCTGCTTCTTTCTTCTTCTGCTTTTGGCTGCTCGCAAGGAAAGCAGCAAAAGTCTTTCTTTCTCTTTACCTAACTCCACCAGAAATGAGTCTTTGGGACCCTGCAAGGCATCCTGTTCCAAGAGGCTGAGCCGGCAAAGACTCATTTCTGGCGGAGTTTGGGGGAGAGAAAGAAAGACTTCTGCTGCTTCTGCTGTTTTCCTTGCATGAAGCCAAAAGTCTCTTTTCTCTCTCTCTCTCTCTTCCTGAGAACGGACCTGGAGACGATATCCTGCAATCCCAAATAAAGAATGATTGATTGGTAGGAAAACGGGGTGGGGAATTTTCCTGCAGCCTTTTTGGGGGATTTTCCCAGGGTCTCTGGTCCGCGGATTTAAAATTATGAGTTTGGTGGTCCCTGTGGTCCAAAAGGTTGGCAACCCCCTATTTAGGAGATACTTTTGCAGAGTTTACAAGCAAATCAACACAGGAAGCTGTTGTGAAATGAATGACTTTCACTGGATCAACACTTTCAAAAGGACATGAATAAGAAAGAGATGTAATTAAGTAACATATAGAAGTACATTCCAATGTTTGCTTGACCTGGGAGTAAAATCAGTAATTGAAATCCTGTGCATTTCTGCTCCTAATATTTCATAAACATTGTACAGTATTTCTGGAGACAATATGACATTAAAATGTGCTTGAATTATGTTAGGCTTCATCCTTTATTGTTTATACAGATTGTGTTAATACTATGGATGCTTTTGTTCTGAAGCTTTATGAAACAAATTAATACTTTCCCTTGCAAAATTTGAATTGTTACATATTTATATTATGAAATCCTGTAATCATTCAATTATAATTTGAAAGCATTCTGGTAATAGGTATTTAATCTCCGAAACAGAATATGTGGCAACATTGACTTGTTTGGTTCGAGCAGGGATGTCAAACTCAAGGCCCCAGCCCAGATCCAGTACACAATGTGGTCAGATCTGGCCCAACGGACCATCCTGATCTACCCAGTGCAAAGAGGAAAGATCAGGCCAGTGTAGTTTCACCCCAGTCTAGCCAATGCAAAGAGGAAACATGGCAGCAGTTTGGAGAGTGGCATCAAGCTGCCCACACCCACCCATTTGGCCACACCAATCCAGTTGCCTACGCCCGCCCCCACGCCCCGCAAGGTCAACCACAGCCCTGATGTGGCCCTCAATGGAATTGAGCTTGATACTCCTGGGTTACAAAAAAGGCAGTATCTACGTTTATTGGTGACTGGAAACCCCTTATGGAATTTTTGCATAAGAAGAGAAAACATTAACTTAAGTTTTATGATTTTCATTATTAGAGAGGGTAGATTATAGGAAGAAGAGAATCATGAAATAACTTTAGAGAGAGGTTAAAAGATCATTGTACTTATAACTGCTGTAAACAAGATTGGATGCCATTTCTCTCTCTCTTTCTCTCTCTCTCTCTCTCTCTGTGTTACATATGTGGTATATATACCATATCTATCTATGGTGTTCGGCTTGGTTCGGGTATTTTCCCACGTCATTGTAGTTCTTTTAAAGTTGTAGCAACGTTTCAGCAGAATCTCATCTGCCATCATCAGGCTTCTGTATTGTGTCCGTCTGTGGGTCAGACTTTTACAGTGGTTTCAGATTTAAATTTGGGGCAGCCTATTGCTGTGCCAGAATGGTTTTTTCTTCATCCTGATTGGTTGGGAGTCTTGGTCTGTGTTTATTGGTCTCGGAGTTTGCTGTGTTCTGCTTGATGGGTGTTTCTGATATCTTCTGTCTGTTTTTTGGCTCTTTTTGTATCTTGATTGGCTGGCAGCATTGTGTTACTTTAATGGAGGTCTTTAGTGCAGCTTGGCTTCGGGTAAATGGACGGCTATCATTAGTTAGGAAGCTGGGTTTCATCTGGGTGCCTGGTT